CTTTGAGGAATTCCCAGGATTAAATCCAAGCAATATCATTCAGCATCTTTCACTTAAATATAAAAGGAAAGCTCTCAGTGCTGCATTGTGTGGTGGGGACAAGAGCCAGGCATCCGAAAAACATTTCTCTTTTCTCTTGTTTTAATAAATGCTGGTACCCAAGAACGTGCTGCTGCCACATCTGCATCCCCACCCGGGTTCCTGCACCTCAGGGTCGTGTTTTCCTTCTGCTGGAAATAGTTCCTGGGGATATAAACACTGTACCAGGAAGGGCAGCCTGTACCTGTGTGAGATAGGAATGGGCTGTGCTTGTGCAACATGGATAAATGTGTCTGGAGGAGGAGGAATGTTTTGACAAGGCCATGTGAGGGATGGCCAACGGTGCTTGCTGCAGGTCATCTTTTGTGTTTGCTCTGGCTCTTTCTCCTCCAAATAATCCCTTTTCCTCTGGTCATTCCTTCCCCTGTGGGGAGGCGCAGGCTGGGGGTTTCCAGGGAGGTGGTGACCAGAGAAGGTCACTCTGGCTGGTCACCAGCCAAGGGCACTCACTGCACATCGTGCTGCCTTCCCGTACAAAAATCCCCCCCAAAACCCATCTGTTCTTGGGAACTGGGCCTTCAAACAGCTCCTTTCCAGTTCTGCCTCGTGTTTATCTGGTGTGGGACGGCTGCATCAACGGTGTTTGCCAGGAGCAGGGAGGCCTGGGCGCCAGGAGCTCCACGTGGTGTGTGTCAGGAGGTTGGTTACGCTTCGTAATTGATGGTCCTAGAAGGCAAGCGTGAGAAAACAGATTGTGAGTTTCTGTTTCGTAGGCTAAAAGAGTTCTCTTTGGTGAAACCTCACAGGCCAGCTCTTAGGAAGGGTTTGCAAACCCTCTTCGTTTAAGAGAGACCATAAAAAGCAGGAAGAAAAGCCAGCAGAGAAAAGCAAATTAGGTCCCAAAGCGGGTAGTGGGGAGGGAGGGGGATTTTTTTTTTTCTGATCTTGAATTTGAGAAAAGAACTGGAAAGAAATCCATCTGGTTCTAGGTTTCCAAGAATGAATGCGCAAGTTTTTTGCACAATGAGAAGCCTTGCAGAGGTCTCAGTGGAAAATGCTGAAACAGACTTTGAGATGAGAGAAAGGAGATGGAGCTCAGTCCCAGGAACAGCATTTTGTACAATGAGAAAGTTTCGTAGCACAGAAACTGAGAGCAGCAAGGAAGGCAAAGACCAGTGTGCTCTCAGAGGGGTAAATACTTTCCCAAAAAGCCATTAGCTGCCCCAAAACTAAAGCACAGCTCTCCAAAGCCTCCCAAGAACTTGGTGGAAAAGGCTGAGGGACATCCGTTGCTTCATCTCCCTTGTCTTGGTCTGGCAGATGTTGGGGTAGCTGGAGGGCTGCAGTGTCCATCAAGAAGAGCCTGATGATCCCTATGGGTGCTGCTGGGTCACCTGTGGCTTTATGGCATGGTGGAGGACACGTGGGGTGAGCTGCCACCACCATGAACATCCTCCTTCTGCAGGGAGGAGCAGCTGGTGGGGACCAGGGGCACAGAGCAGCTCAGCAGGGCAGGGAGGGCTCTGAAATGGCCCCAGTCCCATCACCCGCTTTCATGCCTTTTGGAGACCACCCAAGCAATAAAGAGGAGGAGGAGATGTTTTGACAAGGCCATGTGAGGGATGGCCAACGGTGCTTGCTGCAGGTCATCTTTTGTGTTTGCTCTGGCTCTTTCTCCTCCAAATAATCCCTTTTCCTCTGGTCATTCCTTCCCCTGTGGGGAGGCGCAGGCTGGGGGTTTCCAGGGAGGTGGTGACCAGAGAAGGTCACTCTGGCTGGTCACCAGCCAAGGGCACTCACTGCACATCGTGCTGCCTTCCCGTACAAAAATCCCCCCCAAAACCCATCTGTTCTTGGGAACTGGGCCTTCAAACAGCTCCTTTCCAGTTCTGCCTCGTGTTTATCTGGTGTGGGACGGCTGCGTCAACGGTGTTTGCCAGGAGCAGGGAGGCCTGGGCGCCAGGAGCTCCACGTGGTGTGTGTCAGGAGGTTGGTTACGCTTCGTAATTGATGGTCCTAGAAGGCAAGCGTGAGAAAACAGATTGTGAGTTTCTGTTTCGTAGGCTAAAAGAGTTCTCTTTGGTGAAACCTCACAGGCCAGCTCTTAGGAAGGGTTTGCAAACCCTCTTCGTTTAAGAGAGACCATAAAAAGCAGGAAGAAAAGCCAGCAGAGAAAAGCAAATTAGGTCCCAAAGCGGGTAGTGGGGAGGGAGGGGGATTTTTTTTTTTCTGATCTTGAATTTGAGAAAAGAACTGGAAAGAAATCCATCTGGTTCTAGGTTTCCAAGAATGAATGCGCAAGTTTTTTGCACAATGAGAAGCCTTGCAGAGGTCTCAGTGGAAAATGCTGAAACAGACTTTGAGATGAGAGAAAGGAGATGGAGCTCAGTCCCAGGAACAGCATTTTGTACAATGAGAAAGTTTCGTAGCACAGAAACTGAGAGCAGCAAGGAAGGCAAAGACCAGTGTGCTCTCAGAGGGGTAAATACTTTCCCAAAAAGCCATTAGCTGCCCCAAAACTAAAGCACAGCTCTCCAAAGCCTCCCAAGAACTTGGTGGAAAAGGCTGAGGGACATCCGTTGCTTCATCTCCCTTGTCTTGGTCTGGCAGATGTTGGGGTAGCTGGAGGGCTGCAGTGTCCATCAAGAAGAGCCTGATGATCCCTATGGGTGCTGCTGGGTCACCTGTGGCTTTATGGCATGGTGGAGGACACGTGGGGTGAGCTGCCACCACCATGAACATCCTCCTTCTGCAGGGAGGAGCAGCTGGTGGGGACCAGGGGCACAGAGCAGCTCAGCAGGGCAGGGAGGGCTCTGAAATGGCCCCAGTCCCATCACCCGCTTTCATGCCTTTTGGAGACCACCCAAGCAATAAGTTTTAGCTTCACAGCCCCATTTGCTCTTGATGTACAAATTACCCAGCTTAACAGGAGCAAATGGCCAGCACTTTACAAACTACCTTGGATTAAAGCAAGTCTGTGGAGATTACGGTCTCTGGGCTCTTTGATGGAGGAGGTTTTCATGCCAGAAATAGCCATTGGGGTCCCTGACGAGGTTCAGGGTGTCCCTGGTGCAGAGGAGCCCGACAGGTCAGAGGAGAGGGGAGCAGAGGGATTGCATCTGAGCCCCGATGTACAACTAATTAGCGATAATGGCTTTTTAAAAACATAGCTCTGTAGCTTGCAATGGCTTGCCAGACAGCATGGCCCATTGCTTTTTTCCCCCTGAAATATTTATGATCCTTCTTTTCCTCTCTGCGTCACAGTTGAAAGTGGTTTGTTGTTTTTTTTATTTCCCTTGAAATCATAATGTAAATCTGGGAATTGGAAACCCACAGCCTGGTTGTGTTTATATATGTGTATATTTTTAAAGAATATAAATTGGGGAACAGTTAAAATTATATTATTCCTGGCAGCGAAATTCCTTTTTTTAATAGATAATTTGAAGTTATGATGTTGGAAGCAGCTTTCCCCACGTGTGTGTGCAGGCACGGTGCAGAAGGAGCAGGGCTTGGGGCTTTGGAGGCGGTGGAAGGGCAGGAGCTCACCGGAGTCTGCAGTTTTTCAGCTGGTGGCAGAAAAAAATACAAACCTCAAAGGCACCGTTTTGCAGCCCTTAATTAAGCCCGGGTTTTATCAATGGGAGTTTTGCTTTAGGAAGAACTGAAGGGTTGGACTTTCCAGATCTTTTTCTAGCAGGATCTGGTTTTTATTTCTTTTAGCTGCTCGTTTTTACAAGGCTTGGGAGCACCAGCATTTTCTGCCATGCACCAGTGATAGCCATTTGTTTCCAATTAGTATTTATTGGATTATTTTAGTCAAAAGTAAGCTTTGTGTTACAGTCCCGCAGTATGAGCTTTGTTATTTGTTCACAGGACGGTGTTTTCTTTTTCTGCCTGGTTTTGCAGCAGCTCCAGCCTACTGAAAAGCTGGTGCGAGGGTCTGCCCCCCGACAGATTAATCCAGATTAAACAGATTACAGCCTCTTACACGAGCATCTCTGTCTTCCCTCGGTACAGGGATGTTTCTGGCTGGCGTGGCTGGAAATAGCAGCCTGTCCTTAGGCTGTGTCCGGCTTTCTCCTGCTTTTCCCCATGGCTGGAATGAGCCCCTCTCTTGCCACACACCACCCGGGTGACGCCTGGCTGGGCTGGTTTGTGGCAAGATTAGCTGTGGCTGCTGTTGGGTTTATGGGTGTGCTCCGGGCTGGCTAACAAAGCCTTGGAAAAACACATAGGTAATGCTTTACGTAGGTGAAATAATATGGAAAACTTGCGTTTTAATGGCATCCGAGTTCCTGTCTTGAGGTCATAGGACAAAAAATATTTCCATAGTTTGCCTTGGGAATGAAAAAGCCAATGAAAATATGAATCCCAAGCTAAACCCTTGACCGGTGTGTTTCTCACGTTGCTAACGACCCACCTTATTTGGGGAGAAAACCTCCCAAAACGCACAGGGCTGCGTGTGGACGGGGGGTAGTTGCGAGTAAATGAAAATACCAGGACTGGCCCCTTGGCTTCAGGTGCTCGTAGCTGCAGAGCTGGGGTTTTATCGTGTTTCACTAATGTAAATCAGGAGCGATTGCCCCGAAGTCAGGAGAGCGATAAGTGCTCTGGGAGTGATGTCAGGCGAAACGAGAAGCAGACTCTTGCTGCCTTTTTCTTTTGCGGAAATAACAAATAGGTTTTTACAGGAGAATAAATGCAGAATCCTTGGCAGTGGCTGGTCGTGGAGAAACAGGCAAGTTCATTTGGTCGGAGACCAAGGGAAGCTGTGTAGATTCAGCAAGATTTAACTGCGGGTCAAGCCTGAGTTTTCCTTTTCCTGCTGCCTATCTCTGTTTTCCACAGTGCATATAAAATATTCTTAGTGCAAACTGCACGTCCCAACGCAGCCTCTCCGTGTGCATCACACTAAAAGCTATAAACCTCACAGGTTCTTCTGCTTTTTATTTCTCTTCCAGGACAACGGGCCTGCCCAGAGCAGGAGGTCAATGCCCCATGGGGCTGGGGGCAACCCCGTGGACACCAAGCAGATGGTGAACCTGCAGCACCACCACCCAACCCGGCTCTACGCCAACAGCGGCTCCGAGGCGGCTCTGCCGGGCCAGCTCAGCGGGCTCCACATCACCCCGGCCCAGAGGTAGGAGGAGATGGTTGCCCACGCTCTGGGTCCTGCTGCTGGTCATGCAAACTCGGTTTTGGGAGAGGATGTTGAGGTTGTGGTGCTCCTGCAGCTCCAGAGGCACTGGGTGCTCTGTTAGCCAAGTGCAGATGGGAGGGAAAAATTTAAAAAGCCAAAAAAGGAGGGGTTTGGAGATGCCAAGTTTTGAACGGAATGGCCACATGTATGGACGTAGTAACTGCAACACTGAATTTAAGCTCATGGTGCTGAAGGAATGTTCAACTGTCTTGGAGATGGGTGAAGGTGCCGGTTTTCCACATCCACGTGAGATCCTTCTACTGCCCGTGGGAGAAGGTGGATTAGCGGTATCAGATCCGGTCCCCAGGCTGGGATTAATGCCAGGGGCTGTCACAGACATTGGTATCCTGTTTTTTCAAAGTATATATTCAAGGCAGGATGGAAGGGGTTTGCCCTCCTGGGACCCCAGACCCCAGAGCAAATGCTCGGGCTGGGAGCAGGAGGGATCCGCAGAGAAAATTAACCCCCCTAAACTTGGGGTGTTTATAAAGGCGAGATCTGCTCGAGGCAGCTGTGCAGGAGGCTGGGAAATAAATAATGCTCCTAGGAGAGAAAAAGCTTTTGTGTAGCCAAGAACGGTTTGGGTGGATAACTCGGGCTTTGAGGCAGGCCAGGTTGTGGGCTGCGATGCTGTCGCGGGGCTTACGCTGCTGCTGATTTATGCTCCTCCAGGCTGGCAAAATATTCTGCAAGAAAGTACCGGCCGTGTCAAGTACAAAGAGGAAAGAGAGTTTCTTTTCAGCTCAGGAACTCGGTGCCTGCACAACTCCATATTTCAGCGACGCTGCGAGCCAGCGTATTCCCTCTGCTGCTCCAGGAAAGTTAATGGAGTTGGAAAGAAAAGAACAGCACAAAAAAAAAAAAAATACAGAGAACAAAATCTGATGTTATCTGCGTGTGAGCCAAAAGCCGGGAGATTAACTTGGGTGTTTGAGTAGAATTGGGTCAGAAGTGCATTCTTTTTTGAATTTGGACTTGATCAGGCCGGACCGGTCAAAACCTGCCTTTTTTTCATTGAAAACGTGTGAATTGATGTATGAGAGGGCTGTAGCAGCAGATAGAGGCTTGGGGCACGTGGGGAGGGTTTGAGCTGGTTGAAATGACGGGGAACGGTCCTCTCCTGTGGCAGAGGCACTTCTGCCCCTCGTCTCGAGAGATTAGAGCCACGGGAGAAGCTGGTGGGTAACTCCTGGAAAACAGAGCTTTGGCTTTTCTTTGAAAGTGAATTTTGTTTCGGGTGTTTGTTTTTTTTCCTTTGTTTGAAAGTGAATTCTGTTTCTTTTGTTTGTTGGGTTGTTTTAAGTGGGTATGAATATAATGCTGGTGGATTTGAAAGTGAATTTTGTTTCTTTTGTTTGTTGGGTTGTTTAAGTGGGTATGAATATAATGCTGGTGGAGAAAATGAGTCAGATGATGGCTAAAATGTGTTAAGCTGTCTGATGGGGTTTGGGGCTCTATTTCTATTGGCTTTCTAATGACCTTGATGATCTTCTCCTTAAAAAGGAAAAGGAGCCCCTTCCCCCAAAGCCGTGCTGTGCTTTGGGGCCTCAGCAAAGCCCCACAGCACTTGAAGTTGTCTCTACTCAGCAGGATGCTTAAATGTGGACCCAAAATATTTTTGGTTCCAAACTAGGCTTTTCATGTTTTGATGTATTGGATGAACTGGAAAAATGGTTTAAATTACTATTTGTTGCCTATTGTACGCCAGTCATGCCACATACTGACAAGGAGCAGCTTCAGGTCTGGATGATGAAGGTCGTTGGGGGAAATTATGGGGCTGGTGTCATGTCCCGTCCTCGGCACGGAGCAGCCCTGTGGGGTGGGTTTCTCATTTTGGTTGTGGGCTGGGTCTGGCAAATGGATTTTTTTTTTAGTGCAATCACCTACAGAAATGCTCAATTCAGTAGAGGGTTTGTGGACAGTAGGGGATTTGCTGCCAGGCAGCAGTGCCTGCTCTCCCTGTGCCCGATGAACAGCGGTACCAGGGGTGGGTGGATCCCCTGGCCCTCCGTAATTAATGAAATGCATTGTTTTGTGCATTTTTCCAATAAATTCCATGTGTGGCTGAGCGATTTAGAGCGCTCGTAAGCAGCTGCCCTCTTTCCTGGAGGCATGTGGTAACTGGGCCAGCCCTAGCTGTGTTGCTCAATCGGAGCCCAACAGGAACGAGTTTAACTTCCCTGGATCAATGGCTGTTCCTGGGACAGACGTACCTCCAGGGAGAGACACCCATGGGAACAGAGAGGTGTTTGATTGAATCTGTGGGAACGTGGAGGTTCCAGCACCTCCCTGATGAGCTGACACTCACTCTTTCCATTTGACCTGGGCCTTTCTCACTTTTCCTTAACGCAGCCTCGACCCCTTGAAATCGCTCCCACGGAACAGGAACGGGATTGACGTGGAGTCAGATGTCTACAAGATGCTTCAGGACTATGAAAAGCCCGTTTCGGAGCCCAAGCAGTCCGGATCCTTCCGATACTTGCAGGGCATGTTGGAGGCTGGTGAGAATGGTAAGGAGGCTGACACCCACAGCACATCCCTGGGGCTGGAACCATCATTTGGTCCCCCTGCACCCCATTCCATGGCTCCACAACCACCGAGTTGCAGACTTAACCTCCTTCCCTTTCCCTTGCTGAGGTCCAGAAGCTTGGAAATCCTCTGAAGGACCCATCTGCGAGAGCTGATGGGGGTGGGTTTGCAAACTCCTCCGCTCTCCATCATTTTATTGCCCATCACTTGGGTGCTGAGGCAGCTCAGCTCCATGGCAAGGTCCAGGCACCCTGTGAGGGGCAACGTCCAGACGGCAGGTTTCAAACCAGGGTTTCAGATGCTCAAAGCAGAGGTTCGGGCCAGCATTTGGGCGCTTACCAAATTTTATAGCTACTTGAGCATCGTGTGAAAGTTGGATTTGCAAAGAGCTTCTGTGTAGCAGCTGTTTTCATGAGACAGTTTATGAAATGTAATGGCCTAGAGGTTGTGTCAGATCACCCGTGGAGAACCCTCGGCCTGTTTAAGTAAATAGCATTTGCATAAGGACGTGGGATGGTCCTCAGACGAGCAGGGATAGAGATCAGGAGTTCTTGGCTCACTTCTCAGGTCTGTCACAGCTTCCTGCCTCTGTCATTAGCACAGGCAGGAGCCAACCCCAAGCATTAAATAATAAGATCCCCAAACTATACATTTCAGCTTCTTTAAATTTGCCTTTCAACTTTAAGACCATTGGGGCTTTTACTTTCAGAGTTTCAGGCTTCACTTTACAACCATTAGGGCAAGACTCTTCTTTCTGCTTCCTTCCAGGAGCCTCATACTCCAATCATGTGAATCCAGGAACTTAGATTTTATGGGAAAATACCAGCTACTGCAAATCTCATTATGGAGCTGCGAGAGGCAGCGAGTCAGGCTGTCGTGCTTCAGCTTCTGTGTATGTAAAATGGTGAAGGATATTCTTTGGCCAGAAGGATATTGCTTCTCGTGAAGCAAGAAGCACAATGGTGGGTAACTTCTGAGCATCAGGAGTTTCTACCAGTTTTGCTCAGCTGTCTGCAAAGCGTGAAATGGGATCAGGCTTGGAAATACTGGGTGTTTCTCTTTGAGGCTGGCAGGAAAACTGATGTTCATTCCAAGTTCCAGATGTACCTTCAGGTCCCTCAACAAGAGCAAGCACGGGCAGCTTCCCGGCGAGGTGTCTTCAGCACCCTCAGGTCTCCTCGTTAGGAAGAAGCAAATAGGAAGTGACTGTGTTAATCCCAATTAATAACGCTGCTGCCTTCCTCCCTGCTCTGTGCCAGGGAACGGGAACCAGACTGAAGCTTTGCTGGGTTGCTGCTGCCTCCCCTCACATCCCATGGCACTGGGGTGGGAGAAACCTAGTGCTGCCCTTCAGGAGAAAGGAAAGAGGTGGACAAAAAGGTGCCAGGATGGTGCCCAGACCCTGGGGCTGTCCCAACCTGGCCTGGATGTCTGCTCTCCCCGGCAGTGTCTCGGTGCCAGCCCATCGCCGGTGCAGCACCACGGGTCTGGAGCCTGGGATGATGCTGATGGTACCAACCAGTGTTGTGACCTGCTGGAGAGGTCACCTTGCCACCACCTCCCGGGGCTCTGCCATCAGCCTGTTCCCTCTTGGCTGTGCTGTGCCGTGGGGATGTGTGACCGGCTGCAGGCACAGTCTCTACAACGCTGTTTATTTCATAAAGGATGAGAAATTAAGTGAAAAGCATCTCTCCTGGCATAAAGCTCTGTGACTTCTCAGCATGGTTTAAATCCCCAGGAGTGTTCCTGCTAGGTTGTTTTACAGCTTCCACCCTTGCTCCTTTTCCCCTAAGCCTAAAATTATACATTTTGGCCCAAGCCAGCTGCGCGTTGTCCTTTTAAAGTCAAGATCTCTTCTCCTGAGGAGCTGGGTGTCTTATATGGAAGGTGTTTCTACTGGAAGCTGTATTTTCTTCAGCATCACCAGCCCCATCTCGTGCCTGGAAGGAGCTTCGTGCTGAGGATCTGGCAGAGGCTGGAGGAATGGCAGCAGTCATCTCCAGGGGTGCCCTTGGTGGGGGAAGGATGGGCACTGAACCGGGGACGGCGATGGTTATGGTTGTGGAGTTAAAGCATCTCATGCCATGCTGAGGACCATGAATTACAATGAGGCTGTGGGCTGGGAAATAGAAGGAAATGATCCATCGTTTGGGAAGATGGGAAGCAGCCCTTTGCAGGGCTTGTTTTGCTGCAAAATCTTCTTTCCTCCCCCCTCCTCTCTCTCTTAAGCAGCTTATCTCAGCGCTCCGTCTGACAGACAGTGACAGCTTAACTGTTCCATGTTGGCAGATGAGCCTGTCTCCTCTAAGCACGCCCTGTCTCACGCTGGGGGAAGCCAACAGCTTGAGCAGTTGTTTGGGTTCATTCCCAGCACGGCAGCGGAAGGACTCGGCAGGAGAGTTGGGCTGGAGCCCACCAAGAGCTTGGAGCCCCTCTGGGGTGGAGCAGCCCCAGTCCTGCTCCTGGGACACGTATCGAGGCCTTCAGCATCTCCAAACGCTGTATTATGTCTTGGGAAATGAGCTTTGGTGGGAAAATAGTCCTTTTGGGTTTACTTGCTTGGCTAGAACCCTTGGCAACGTTGATCTCTGGGTCAGAGATGGGTTCTGCTGTGTGAGGACGACTGTGCAGCCCCAGGGTAACCCCGGGGGCTGGGGTCATTCTCTCCTCCCCAGGGAGGGACCAGCTGGATGGTGCAGTAGGGTCTCTCCATGGAAGGAAGCTCTGCAGAGTAATGGCCTTCAGAACGTACCATGTGAACTTGCACGGGATCAGTGAGCAACCACCAGCAACGATGCACCGGGTCCAGGTCCTAACAGTCCACACAGAGACCTTCCTGGAGCCATGGTGGACACTACAGAGCAAGATGCAAGTGGAAATTTCCAAACCCAGTGCAGTGTGTGTGGACACCTGGGTCAGAAAGTGCCTGGGACCCTGCTGAGACCTCCTGGGCGCCCCACGTTTAAGGTTGACCATGGGCTGGAGTACCCTGGAAGCTCAGGGAATGCAGGAAGCCCCAATGCTGAAGAATGGCGTGTTCATCCAAGAGGTCTTCTGCTGCTTTTCCATCCTGTGTCAGCTCATGGAATAAAATACATTGTCCTTCTTCTTGAGCTTTTCCTTTCTGTAACCATAGGTCATCACAGAGGAACCACAGACCAATACACACCCAAAAGACCAGTTGGTTGTGAGCCATGAAAACCCATGCAGGGAATTCTGGAAGCTTTTAAGTGTCCCAAGGGTCGGGAACAAGAATGCTTGTATTGTCTCAAGTGCAGATGACAGATGATCTGTAGGGACGAGGGCTGCAACACAGAAAACTTTGCCATGACATTGTTCACACACACAAAATTTTCCTGTCATTGGACCTTTATGAGAGGAGGCTTGGTGCCCCAGAACACCTTATCTTCTGTCACAATGTTTTGTTTGAGATTATTTTAGATTAAGTGATTGTTCTAAGAAGAAAAACACATATAATTCTGTTATTGTTTGCTTTAATTTGCCTAATTCTCCAAAAGGCTTTCATCTTTGTGTCCTTCACTGACGGTGTGTCTACCAAGTGCACCTGGAGTGTTGGTGTGACAGAATTTCTTCTTTCTGGAGCTTTTCTGAGATCTTTGCTATTTATATTTCTTAACTCACTGAATAATATTGCAGCCAAATTTTTCTCTCATGGGTAGAATAAGGTTCCTTTGCCTTTTGACTGGGTATATTTAGTGAGCTGGTGCTATCACAGGACACAGATGGGTGCTCTGCTGATGAAGCCAAGGGCTTCTGCCACCGTCGGTGCTTCATTAGGGTGAGCAGAGGGTCAGCACAGTGTCCTGCCCTCATCTGCAAACCTGGATGTTGGGTGGCTTTTGAGATAGTTGGCCTCACTAGTTGCTTTTTACTTCCTTCCAAGCAAATTGCAGGTTCTGTTTTGACACGCAGAGACTCATCTGACTCCTGAAGGGGGAAAAAAAGAAAGCGGGGGGGGGGGAAGAATAAGAAAAAAAAA